GCGTGTCCAGGCGTTACCACGGAGTTGGCTACGAGACACCGCAGATCGATCAGGAGCACACGTGGCGTTTCCTGGTGATCTTCCTCCACAGGCTCCGACGTTCTGGCCAGGTCCCGCTCGTGTGGCACTTGAGCCAAGGAGTGGCGCTCACCTGGAAGAGAGTCATTCACCTCCTCGACCCTTTCGGCAAGGGCTTCATGGCCACGGCGATGGACCCACACGAGCTCCAGGACGAACCCCTTTTCGCTCATGGCTGTATACCTCATCGGCGCAGAGAGACGGCCATCCTGGGCCAGCAGCTGTGCACATGGAAGCTGCGCTCCCTCGGCCTCAATCACGTCACCGACCTCAAGGACATCACCAACGCCTTCGCGTCCACCAACTGGGACAGCCTCGCAGACGCCAACCAGAGCATCATGAAGGACGACCATGTTTCGTTCGGCCGCCAGCGTTTCCGCTTTGCTGCCGTGATGTTCGGCGACCTCTGCGTGCGCCCCAGCGTCGGGGCTCTCATCGGCGACCCGTGGGCGGTGAAGGTCTTTGTGCGGGACATCAGCACCGTCTTTGCGAAGGTGCAGGAACAGTTTGCAGAGTTTGGCTCCGAGACGGCTACCTGGTGCCAGCTCACGCTCAATTTTGACGGTGAGGAGATTCTTCTGGACTTGGCTTTTCACTCATACGTAGATGACGCCATTCGGAAGATCGTGGTGCCGCCCGACCAGGCCACGGCCGCGGAGCTCGCGCGGTGGTCCCGAGCATACGACTTGCTTCTTTCTGCTGAGCTTCGACGCCACGGCTACGCGCTCAACCCAGCCAAGAACGTCAGCCTCTTGTCCTTCGTGGGCACGGGGCTACATGCACGGCGGCGTGAAGTGGCGGAAAAAAAAGGTTCTTCTTGCAGGGGCCCCAGCAGACTCGACCCGACATCTTGGAGGCCAGGTCATGGGTAACTGTTCATTTCGGGCCGAGCTATCGGCCCGCCTGGCGGCCATCTCGGCGGGTTTCTTCTCCATGGGAAAGTATTGGTACGCTCGGAGGATCGCCTACACCGAGCGACGAGCCGTGTTCCTGGCCAGGGTCGTGGGCCCTGCGTGCTCCGCCTGCGAGGCCTTCTTGCCGTCCCCCAGCCAGATTGACCAGCTCACGGCGCGGGTCGTCTTCTTCGGGCGCAAAGCTATGAGGGGTGCCGCGACGTCTTGGGAGGGGGGCCACGCTCGTTCGGTCCCTTCCGAGGCGGTCTTGAGGTATTGGCGGGTCCCTCCTCTCGAGATCGAGTTCCGTGTCAGACGTCTGCGGTGGTACCAGCAATGGGCTCGAGAGCCCGCACGACATCTAGGCGAGTGGGCCCCTCTCTTCGGGGACATGAACATCGAGAAAATGCGAGGCCTCCGAACCCTCACACCCGAGGGCCATCTCACGGAGACGGCGAACCCCTGGGCCATCCAGTACGTCAGGGACTTCGAGGCGCTTCGGAGGACGTCTGTGGACACTGAGGAGGATATGCGTTCCTGGTCAGGAGCCCCTTTGGAGTTTCTCGAGGAGGGGGACTTGCGGGACTGGTTCACGGAGTTGGACCTCTCGGTCGTCAGGGCCGCGTGGCTCTCGGTCAGCATCCCTCCTGCAGGCACGTCTGGTCCCCATCAAGAGGCACCACCTGAGATCCCCGCAGGACAAGGTGAGGGCTTTCGCTGCTCCATCGGGAACTGCGCCAAATGGTTCCTTACGAAACGTCAGTGGCTGGTTCACGTT